TTTGGTCAATGTTTTTGTAAGCGTCAATGGAGCCGAGAGACCAAACTTAATGAATGAACCTCACGCATGTTTGTTTGTGGGGGGGGTGTCAGATGGTCGGGCTCAAGTACTGCAGCGCCACGATGCGGTGCGACGAGGTTGTCGACGGCGAGGGCGGCAAGGACGCACCCCCCGCCGAGCTCATCTGCAGCCTTGGAGACCTTTCCCAGGAACCTTCCTCTGCTCCTGCTGGGGAGGCGGGAGGCGGCGAAACGGTGAACCGTCCGCCGGTTCGGCCGAAGGGTAACATTTCTTGGGTTTCTGCGGAGGAGGCGGTGCGGGCGGAGGTGCGACTGTACAATCATCTCTTCACGGTCGACTCTCCGGACGACAAGTGGGAAGAGCAGGTGAATTTTTTTTTTAGGTTTGGGCTGCCGCGAGTATGTAGGATTTTTTGGTACCCTTCCACGTAATGCGTACATGCGTAGCGTTTTCCTTGAGGCGTCTTCGCTTCCGAAAAGAAAAATGCACTGCAATTGAATAGATTGAAAGCACACATGCATACTCGTACATATTGTTGCTTTGTTCGTTTTTCACGTTCGAAATCATGATCACCCGATTTTTTTTATGTCGTGGGTGTATCCTGAGTGAAGAGAGCGACGCGGCAAGGAATATATCTGTGCTTTACATGTATATATCTTGGTTGCGCTCTTGTTGTAGCGCAGCTGGGAGACAGGACCAGGCTATCACCAAGCTCCGCGTGTAGTTTTCGTGATGACCTGGCTGGCTCTGCGGGGAGATGCGACTCGATACAATGTCCTTTCGTGCCGCTGGTGTCTTTGCTCTCTTTTGTTGAGCAGGGCTGAGATTGCGGTGACACTTGGTCACCGCCCCCTCCCCACCCCCAACAACCCATCCAAGCACCGTCCCGAAGAGATACCAAGCGGTTAAATTAATGCTCGACCGCAGCAGTGTATTCGCCACCTCCCCTGACCAACAAGCCACATCGCCGCTGTCTGTGAGCGCCTGGTTTCTGTCGTCTGACTGGCCTGTCTGCCTGTCCGCCTGTGTGCGCTGTTGTTGACACTGAGGCAGCTCAACCCGGAATCTGAATGCGTCATGACTGGGGCTGTCATCGACCCTTCCGTGCTAGAGAAGGAACACTCGGTGGGCACTCCGCTTCAGGTGAGATTTCAACACATTTGTCTTGCTGTCTGTCGCCTACCATTGTTGTTCTCACCGAGCTACTGTCGCCGAGATATGTAGAACGTGTTAAACGGAGCTGGTGGAGCAACGTTTTGCTGTAGGTCTAGCCTGTAGTCGGATCTGTAGACGTAGTCTAGACGAGATGACTGTTTCAGGTGTCCTGCGCAAAGGCCAAAATTGATAAGACGAAAAGCACAAATCAGTATCCCATGACACCGCGTTTTTGTCTCGGCCTTTCCAGGTGGGGACTGGCCAAACACCCCCCCGCTCACACATCTAGCAACGGTTTTTCTGCCGTGCCCCTCTCGCATTCAATTCTGTCATCGACTGCCCTCTGGATGTGAATGCCTGTCCAGAAATTGACATGCTAAGCACTGCTGTTTCTCTACAAGTCTATGTCGTCTTGATATACAGCAATTGCCTCACGGCTTTGAAACCCCTCTACCATACCGTTTCTGCCGCGTACACGCCTGCTTCTGTTTTTGCTTAGTTTTTTTTTGTTTCGTCCCGCGAACGAATTCCTGGATTTTCCGTACGTGCCCTCGGTGGAAACCTCGGCCGCGAAACTATTTATGCAGCGTAACCCCCCGCCTCGTTTGTTCTCGCTGAATTTCGCGGGCTTTCCGTGCCAACCCTTGATGGGAAACCCCGGCGGCGGGCGCGATACAGCTGGAGCGCATCGGATTCTTCGTGGTCGACAAGGACTCTACGCCAGAGCTGCTGGTCCTGAACCGAACGGTAACTCTCAAGGAGGCTACGGGGAAGAGTACGGTGCCGAAGGACAAGAGCCGCAAAGAGATACAGGTGGGTTTCATTTTATGTCTTGTGTTGTACAAATGCCTAGAGAGGGTGATTATTGCGTTTTTGATATGCAACGAAACTTGCATGACGCTCTGTTGGTAGAATAGAGAGTACATCCGTAGACAGCAGTAGACGTCATCCGTCCCGACATGGTTTTGCACACACGCTCCTCAACCTTCGAGCTCTTTTTTCTTTTCGATATTCTCCTTGTATTGTTTATGGTTATAGTTATGCAGTGCATTTCTTCGCCTTCTCGATCTTATTTCTTTGCGATGTGTGTGCGTGATTTCTTACTATTACGAAGTGTCTATTCTGTGGGTGTGTCACTCTTGTCGGCTTACATCGTCTTACACTTTTTCTTTGATTTTATTTTCTTCTTTGTTTTTGTGTCCATTTGCTATGTTACGTTTCATCGCCACAGGCTCGCCAGGCGGCGGAAAAGGAAGCGAGAAAGCGCGTGCCCCCGCAGGAGATGTTCTTGTCCATGACCGACCTCTACTCGGCCTTCGACGACCAGGGGGTTCCCACGACCGACAAGGCGGGAGAGCCGCTCAGCAAGAGCTCCATCAAGAAGCTCAAGAAGGAGTGGGAGAAGCAGAAGAAGTTGTACGAGAAGACGCTGGCGGAGAGCGCGTAGGGGGGG